TTGTTTCCAACTCCTTGCTATTGTAAACAAAGCCGCGATAAACATGGGTATACATATATCTACTTGGATGTCATTTATGGTCTCTTTAGGGTATGGGAATATGTTTCTTTATTTTCACAAGTTTTTACTTAATTCTCTAGGAGGTTTGACTGACTCAATTTTCTCTTCCTCATGCCTTTCTGTTGACTAGCCTGGAAGATATATGTTCTCGGACGTGAGAGGCTAGGAACAGAGTGAGCAAGGTTCTTATTATGGGCTTCCTGGTCAAGGCTGACACCTTAGGGAGCTCTGGTGGCTTAGTGGTGAGAAACTGTGCTGCAGTTCCAAAGGCACACAGTTCTAATACACCAACTGCTCTGCTGGAGAAGAATGGGCAATCTCTTCCTCTATGATTTACTGCCTCTGAAAATCTGCTGGAGAGTCAGCTATGTGTTGACTCCAACTCAGTGGCATACAACAAACAAAAGCAAAGAGACACCTTGCTGAGAGCTCTGGTGGGCCAGTGGTAAGAAGTTGCACTGCAATACCAAAGGCACATGGTTTGAATCCACTAGTTGCTACTTGGGAGAAGCATGAACAATCTCTTCCTGTGTGATTTACCACCTCTGAAAAACTACTTGAGGGTCATCTATTGGTTGGTTCCAACTTGACAGCATACAACAACACAACAGTCACCTTGAGGGAGTACCTGGACCAAGAAGTCATTGTCTAAACAGAGCAAGAAAACACTTCATGGTTGTGTGTCAGGGTTATAAACTTTCTCCATATATTGGGCAACTCAATCAAGAAGCTGGACTTCATGAAGAGGAATGTGGCATCATGACTGGAAGAAGATTCATCCACAACCTACATTATACGGATGACACAACCTTGCTTGCTGAAAGTGATGAGGATTTGAAGGTTTTGTTGCAAAAGATCAAAGACTAGAGCCTTAAAAATGGATTATATCTTAACATCAACAAAACAAAAATCCTAACCACTGGGTTCAATAGACAACATTATGATAGATGGAGAAAAGATTGAGACTGTCAACAACTTCATCTTACTTACACAAGTAACACCCTTGGTACAAGCAGTCAGGAAATCAGGAGAAGTATTTACTGGGAAAGTCTGTAGTTAGGGGCCTCTCCAAATTATTGAGGAGTAATGATGTCAGTTTGAGGACAGAGCTGCGCATTACTCAGGCCATGGTCTTTTCAGTCACTTCCTATGCTCATAACTCATAACTGACCCTCCAGCAGATATTCGAAACTGTAAATCACATGAGAGAAGATGGCCCATCTTTCACCCTTGGAGCAATTGGTGGATTTGAAGCAAGTGACTTTGCATTGGCAGTGAAATACCCTGCCCCCCCGATATATCAAAATAACCCATGATCCTATATCCTATAAATAGGCTATAATTTATGAAGACCTAGGGACACATGTCAATCTATTTGGTGAAGAAAGCAAGAATAAGGATAATGAAAGAGTAATAGGAAACAAATGTCGATTTGTCAAGTCAGAGCTTTTATTTTTCTCTTATTTCTTAATAAGAAAGCTCGGGTGTTATAAAATACTCTCTAGTGGGGAGTTGAAGGGCATGGTCTTTACATTCTGACAGATCTGGGCAGATCCTGTTAAATAACCCACTAGCATTAAGATTGAATAAAGTTGTAGACCCTCTAAGTTTTAGCCTTGGTTCTTCCTGTAAAATGTGGATCATTATACTTGTTATGCTTGGGACCATCCAACATTCTTAAAATAATCTTTCTCTGTGGCAAGAAATTCTCCCATTAAGAGTCCTCCTTTCTGAGGTAGAATCCAAAGTACGAGAGCAGCTTCCCCTGTAGCAAGGACACTGGCACGTGCTCTGGCACTGCAAGTCAGACATATTCAGGAGTGACAGATTCAGAAGTGAGCTGTGTGAGTGAGGAAGCAGGGACCACACAGAAGCCGCCTGCAGGAGTGCTGCCTGAGGTGTCAGACTTGACTGAAATAGAGGTGACAGTTTATGATCTCCAACCTCAACAGCATCAGTGTGAATGTTACAGCCATGACCAGAAGTGGCAGTGCCCACACATCTGCTGCTCGACTCCCATCAAATGTCAAACCTATGATTTGGGCATTATTAACATTAGCACAGCCTGTAAGGGTTGAACTTTGGCTCCTCCAGCAAGTCTGTAAGTTTCTTTTCTATCAATCCAAAGTGGATTCAGTTGCCTACAACTAAAAGTGATACAGGAGATCCATTAATAGAAGGCGTGTAAAGAACTTATTACTATAATAAGCCAGAAAAGCATGCTCAATAAATGGTGACTATATTTTACTATATATTATAAAAAATCCAGGGGGAAATTGAGTATGTCTGGGAGGTCAATGAGTGTACTTTGAGATAATACAAAGAAGAATTTGTTAGCACTGATATGAGTACCTGTTTAACCCTTGCATTTTACCAATGAGTCTATGTGGTGCATTGGTTTGTCTAGCACCATATGTTCAGAGGCCCAGAAACAGGGACAAGAACCCGGTTTTTAAAGCTACTTTATACTGCATCAGGATGTCGTTTGATAATTGGTGTCATCCAGTAGGCAAAAGTTAACTATTATAGTTTTCTAAATAACTTATAATTAGTTTTTCTTTCTTTCCCAAAACCTGATCTCATTACATGGCAGGAGAAGCACATCTCTCATTAAACTCTCTCCACATCTTTCATTTGGGATTCATGGTAAGGAAGACGAATGACATCTGTCAGTGGAAATAACTTCCAAGTAAACATTGCCACAGAACAGCTCTCTCCCTTTAATACGTCCCTGATTCTCCCTGGTTTTTCAGTCAGAATGTTGAGACCTGACAGTCATTTGAAGAAATAAACTCTGAATCCCTTTCACTTTATATTCTGAAATTGGTCTGCCTGCAGTACTACAAAAATGCCTCACTTTGAAAGTATCACAGCAGAAGATTCTGGATTCTGAACAAGGGAAGGAAATGTGGAATAAAACGAAAAAGCATACGAAAAGATCAAGCTTATTGACCCAACAGAGGTCAGAAACTCAAAGACTAGGGCCCTCAGTCTCCCTTCAAACCTGGATCAGAGCTCACCTTTGTGGCTCAGCCGAACAATAGACAGATCGATAAGGTGAACAATAACACTAGGGAGGCACGCATCCCTTAGAATAGCCAACCACACAAGGTCAAAAGAACAGCATCTACTCAAGGATGCATTCCTAAAGGCAGGATGAAGGATTGATGGAGAGAGAAATTATAGGAAGAGAAGTGTAAAAGCGTGATTATATTTTTGGGTACTCTATTAGAAAACAAAATGTGTATAAATGAATGAATGAAATATCAATTTCTTTGTAAACTTTCATTCAAATCACAATAAAAATAATTTTTTAAAAAGTGCCTCCAGAGGTCAGTACTTGCTGCTGGGTGTGGGTGGGTGGGAGGCCTTCTAGAGTCTGTTTCTGACTTTAACTTTTAATTTCCACCAAGTTCTTAAACACAGCAGAGAACCAAGAAACTGGGGTAAGTTTTTCTAATTTAGTGAATCTAGAAGTCAACCTTATTTTTTCCTAAATTTTCAGAGAAGACTAAAACAATTTTTATTTCAAGAACTACCCCATAAGCATGCAGATAACTAGTTTAAAATACAACTATGGTGGTGGTGGTGGTGGTGGTGTTTTAAAGCCTGAACAACATGATGTTACAATGTGTGCCAGAAGATCTGATAGTATTAGTGTGAACTAACTCTATATGTTCTGCAGCTTTAGCATCTGTACAATAAAGGCTTGGAGTAAATGATGACTAAGATCCTTCCTGGGGGATGGTGTGATGCACTCAGACTCTCCTTTAGTCTTCTAATTTTGGAAGTACTGCCCTCAACTGTCGGCTCCTGTGGAGATTACTTTGGTTGAAAAGAATCATCTCTCTCCATATCACACTATCTTTTTTGACCAACCTCCTCCCTTCCCCATTTTTATTTTATATTGGTTTGTTTACAAAGTTCATATATATTGTGTTTCACACTATTCTGCATTCAATCTGCATTTGATACAATCATTCCCATGTATTTTTGTTGTTGTTATATGCCATCGAGTCGTTTGCGTCTCATACAGACCCTATGTATAACAGCTCTGAAACCTGCTCTGTCATGAAGTAACCTCATTGTCTCTGACACATCTACCCCCATGACCCAGTCACTGAATCAATCCACCTCATAGAAGGTCTTCCTCTCCTGAGCTGTCCTTCCACCCTTCCAAGCCTGACATCCCCCTCTAAGGACTGGTGCCTCCTTGTAACATGTCCAAAGTATGCCAGATGAAGCTTCAGAATCCTTGCCTCTGAGGAGCAGCCTGGCTTCACCTTATCCAGGACAAACCTGTTGGTTTTCTTAGCAGTCCATGGTATAT